CCAAAACTTCAAATGTACTTCATGGTCCAACCAACGCCTCTCCTGCAACTCAATGCCATCTTCTTCTGTCTTGACGTTGATGCTTTGCGTTGCAGACCACAAAGTGCACTTTGGAGACACAAAAATCTCATCTGGCTCCTCCTCCATCTGCAGCTCCAACAAGGCTCTCCGATGCTTTGCTTTGCTAAAGTCCCAACCGTCTGCGACCAGCATAGACTTCCCAGACGACTCTCCTGCGTCTGGCTCCAGGTCGAGCCTCATTGAGCATCTGCCGCTGCTTCTTCTTGATCTCCTCAAATTGCAACTCACATGCCACAAAAAGTTTCTCCAGGCTTTCAACGGTCTTCTCATAGCCTTCCTTTCTCTCATGCTCAGCCTCCTCCGCCAAGCCTTCGACTTCTGTGGACATCTCATCAAAACGGTCGTGTGCCCTCATGTCTTGCAAGAAGGTCTCGAAGGTCTCCTTGGTGTCATGGTCATCTTCACTTCGCAGGTCAAAAACTGGATTGTCCAATTGCTGTGGGTCCTGTAGCTGTTGGCATAGATGCAACAACATGCTCCCTTGCTTTCCACGCTCAATGTCTTTCCAGTGTCCTCCCATGAGCCTCATGCGATTGCCTCCGAAGTCCACAACCGCCTGCAGTCGTTCCAGGATGGGACGACCGAGTAACATGGGAGTTGCACCAAAGATGATGAACGCCTGAATGCGTCCTGCGACGCCCTCAATCAGCACTGGAAGCGACACCATCCAGCGAGAACAACCCTCTGCATCTCCTCCGAAGCGAAGCAACTTGTCGCAGCGCTTGAACTCCAATCCACTGAGGTCGAAACCCTTGTACTGCAACCAGCGAAGGTATCGAAGGAGGTACTCTGTGCCAAGCAAAAAGCTGCTTGCTCCCTGGTCCTGGATCGCAACATCAGGCTTCTCTGTATATAAGCCAGCCTCCAGCCCTGACCATCTGATCACCTTGGGTGTAGGCTTCCTCAACATCATAGAACTGCTCTTCATCCTCCTCCTCAATGTCATGGAACTGCGTCTCTGCTGTCATGCCCATGCCGGCCAAGAGTGGGTCACCGTCCTCCAGCACTCTCTTCTTGGACGGAGATGAGGATCTGCTCTGGCAATTGGCTGCCAAGTGTCCAACCTTCCCGCAACGAAGGCATGTCCGGGTCTCCATGGCCGGAAGTGCATCTCTGGCCCGTGCTTTGCCTGTCGGACCCTTTCCACTTGTCGAAGACGATGATGAGCCGCCCTTGCCGCTCTTGCCTTTCTTGTGCTTTCCTTTCTTGCCTCCTCCATGGTGTTGTGAAGGCGATGATGGCGAAGACGATGGACTGAACGGCATCTGTCATTGATCTACCATTGCAACAACTGGGTAAAAGCCTCTAGCCTGTCTCAGGCTCTGCATCCTCTGCTTTGCATCTGTGTATGCTGCATAGATCTCATCAAACTCCTCTGTGTCGAACAGCGATTCATCTGCCCCAGTTGCTTCGAAGAAAGCTGAATCATCATCCTCCTGCCAGTATGTGTCGTATGGACTCTCATCATCAGGCCAGGCCTCAGCGCCATCATCTTCAAAGTATGCCTGATCTTGCTCCCAGTCACCCTCTGTCTCGGCTTCCTCAGTAACTGCATGGATGAGTCGGGGGTTCTTCCATCGTCCTTGCTGTTGCATCGGAATCCGGCGTTGAGCGACGTGAGCATGTCGATGATCCTGCCCAAACAACAAATACAACGCTGGCTCAACTGCTGTCAATGTCAATGTGGTGCCAATGTGGGTCTGAACCATGGTCTGCTGTTCTTTTGTCAATGCAGCCCGTCTCAACATCAGCCACCCAGTCACTTCTGGTGGTGATGTAATCTTGAACTTCATCAACTCTCGAAGCGACTGATTGAACTCTGTGCAGTATTCTAGGAGGGATTGACCTTGTCGCCTGACCAACTTGAAAAAGAACTTTTCAAAGGCCTCCGGCATCTCGACCTTCTCCTCGTACTGCCACTGGGCGTCCAGCCTCTTCAGAATGGCCAGAATGCCTTCTTCTTTTCTAGCTCACTGATCTCCAGATCTTCGCATTGACGCCACGAAGCGCCTTCCAGAACTGAAAGCACGTTCAATGCCGTCTCCTTGTCTCTGCCCTGCAACTTTTGGCGATGTGCATACAACTGGATGCGTTTGCGCCACTCCTTGTATCCAACAGTCGTGTTGTCAAATCTTGGTACGAAAAACTTGTCAGATGCGGAGTCCGGTTGCCTCCCAGTGGAGGTCTCGCTCATGGCTCTCGCGCGGCCGCCCCGGGAGCCGACGTATTGTCGGCTCCGCTACCAATGTGAAAACCTAGGTCAACAAACCAAGGTAGGGTTCCCAATGCGCTCGAGGTCAGTGGGAAAACACGGAAGTGAAAGTGCGGACATGAAAGCCCCTTTTTTGCGTAGTCGATTGGATGTGACTCAAGGGCCCTAGTTCGAACCCGAGTAGCGGACACGGCATGAAGTGACCATCCATTTGTGGGCCACAAATTCACAGGAACAACTCACATGGCCTGGAGATCCTTGTTGGCAACTTATTTGGATTTGGAAGCAATGGCTCATGGCTCGACAAGCAATGCAGTTCCAAAAGCAATGCAGTAGGCATCTACGGTGCGAAATTGTGCGGTGCCACATTGCCACATGGTGCCACCCTTCACAATGCTGCCTAAAATGGGCTTGTCAGGATGAGAAGTCAAGGGAGAATCAGAAGTTTTCTCTGTGCACATGTCTGTTCTCGGACACTGAGATGCTCACCCAAACCTCTTGGTGCCACAAAAAGAACACAAACACATGGCCCTGAATTATCGTTTGCCGCTTCTGTTGTGAGGACGAATTCACCAAACAAACCAATAATCCCTGAAAAAAGAGCAACTCAAACTCAAACTTACCAAGTAGACGACGAATTGCCCAAGAGCATTTAGGTGTAGAGTTACTCTGGTGTAAGGGATGCTGGCATTACGATGAGAGAGTAAAGAAAAGAGAGTTGTGAGATGGTGACACAGAAAGCAAAAGAGAGGGTGAGAAAAGGATGAGATGAACATGTTCATATGTTGGAGGCCATCGCTACTAGTTTGGAGGCCATCGCTACTAGGTTGGAGGCCATTACAACAAGTAACAAGAAGCTAGTAGGTTGGAGAATGGGAGGATGAAAACGTCCAGTTTTACAGCAAGATGTGGTTTCAGGTCCTGCCCAATAGAGATCTCCCAGGTGATGTTATGCAGGTTTGTGTGCGTGTTTGCAGTATACAGCATAGAAGTCTGTGTGCGAAAAAAACCGGTCAAACGTGTGCGTTTTTCGGTCCTGCCAACAAAAATGTTCTCAAGGTGAGTTTATACTGGTTGATGTGCAGTTTTACGGTACAACGTGTGCGTTCAGGTCCTGCCCGTCTTCCATGGATGTTGGATGCTACGGACCGTGGAAGACACGACCCTCAGGTTTTGTAGGTGTTCAAAATATGTTTTTTTGAGTCTTCTGACTAGTTCTGATCTGTTCTTCCTGAAGTTCTGGTGAGTATGGCGAAATGCTTTTTCCTTAGTTGTGGTTGTAACTGTCGTTGAAAAAAACGCTTGTGAGTCTGGCCATGGAACTCATGTTTGAGCCTCGGAGGGGAATGGAATTATACCCAAGTCCAGTCTGACCCAGTAAGACCAGAGAACAAAGATAGAGGGATGACCGGGATGATGACTGAAGCATAGTGACCAGTGGGTCTTTTACATCCGAACAAGTTTGGGAAATTGGATCAGCACAGATGTCGTCTTGCCCAAACGCTCCTGAACCCGAGGGATTGGTCCCGAAACCTCTGGAGGGGTCGAACCAATCCCTCAAGTTTTGAGGAACCAAGTGGGTTGTTTGCAGCGTTTGGGTGAGCAAAAGAAAGGCTAGAACCCCAAAACCAAGGAATGTCTAGTCTCTCCTTTCCTCTCCACTCTTCTCTTCCCCTGACAAGCGCCAATTCGCGCGCAGCGGGCCTTCACAAAATCAACGGGAGACGTGGATTGCACCGACTCCGGGTCGACGTTCCCCTTTGGGCCGCACCCGCGGAGTTGGCTCTCCCAATGCCTCCTCCTTCTGCGCCCCAATGGACTCCAAAAGCCGCCGAGCTGAAATGATCCCTGAGCTGCATACACCTGTGAAGATTAACATGGAACCTGAAAATGAACCTCCAAAATCTACAACACGTCACCTGGTCAGAAGCTCCTGTCTTGACCAGTACTCTCCCTGAAAGAGCTGCCAAACCTGATTTTGGCAGCAATCGGGCTTCTGACACGTCAGACAGGGTCCTTTCGGAATCCAAGTAACTTTGTCAGAAGGTCATTGGACCAGCAGTCACAAAGGGGTGCTTAATGGAGGTTAGGGGTGCCCATTATCCACTCATTTGGGGACCAAACACCACCCCTTTGTGACTCCTGGGAGACACTGTTATGTAGGTGCCCGGAGGCTCCAAGCACCTTCTGAGGTTCGGTACAACTGGATCTGTAGGGCGAGTAGATTGCTAGTCTCGACGTTGATCCCAGATGTGTCGATCTTTCGTCTGATGAACAACCCCAGCAGTACTTAGTACGTCCGGAACTCACATGTCGTACAAGTAAGTGTTGGGAGTTTCATGAAGAATCTACCCCCAATCACCAAAGAGATCCATATATGTTTGGGCGCTTTCTATGGCCCACATGACGACCAGTCGTGGAAGGATGGACTGTTTGGGATGCGCCATTCATTCACTTTGCCATTCAGCTGATGATCGAAGGTGTCACTGTCATTGTATTTCATTCGAGATACGGCGTGTGTCACACTGCATGTGTGTGGAGGTGTTGTTCGCCTCTGTTTTCCGATCTCAAGGACAAGGAGTGCGGAAGCAACATCGTCCGCCAGAGTGGGAAGCCCTGTCACCCGAGTCCTGAATTGCCTTTGAATTGCCTTTATGTCGGACAACATCCCGAGTCCTTATTAGGTCACTGCAAGTTAGGTCACAATCCGAGAAACATCTTCGAAACCGATCGAATCAGCCGGACTGAACTGGACTCCTTTGGGAAATTGAATTCTTTTCGCAAAACGGGAAGAGTTCGTCCTTCCCGTTGTTGCGGAATAATAGTACGTTCTAAGCGTCGCGGCAGGCCGGAGTGAGAGGTGGGAGGGTGCACCGGAGTGAAACCAGGATAGGCAAACCAGGAACAAACTCATGCGAACCACCAGTTGAAGCTCTAATTATGGGTGATGTTGTGGTGGTCCTGCCTGGGTGGAAGGTTGAAAGCCTGGGTGGAGAGGATCATTCAAAGAGTTCAGTTGACCTGGTGTTGTTGTCTCAAATCCTTTGAAGAACCATGGCTCTTTGGATCTCTTTTGGTATATAGCTGTGAGGCAGGTCCCCTCCCCCACCAAACCAGGGAAAGTTGACAGCCCTATATATAGGAATCAATCTGTTCCAGGGTCAACCAGGGGTCAACCAGGGTGCCCGGGTTTTGATCCAGGACCCCAAGAAAGGGCCATGAAAAGCATGATGTGCGACCGGGCGACCTGCAGTTGAAAAGGGCATGGATTCCACTGACCAAGCTGACCAAGCTCCAACTCATCGCACCCGAGCCGCACCCGATCCTTCCAAGTACTCCCTCCAGATCGGGAGGGCGTCTCGGTCGTCTTTAGCGCTTTTTACAGGGTCGTGTCCTCTACCTAGGAACAAGAAGCTACTAGGGGCTCGTGGCATCGCTACTAGGAGCGATCGGACGCTACTAGGGGCTCGTGGCATCGCTACTAGGAACAAGAAGCTACGAACGGGGCTGATGCAGGTTCGAAAGCACCGGAGCACCTCCATCACCGCCCGCGGGCGCGAGGTGTTCAGAGCGAGATCACAGAGGCTCGTCTCCTTAGGATGATCCAACACATGTCAGTCTGGGCGACTCCGAGCGGCTACATGTTGTATCGTGCTTTGGTCCAAGACCCGATCCCATGGGTTCCGTCTGGTTCTTAGATGAGGGTCCTTTCTGAGCGATGCTTTCGGAACTTCTTGCTGGAATGACCCTCGGCTGAGCCTGCCCTGAACATGAGACACATTGGCACTACCTCAGACTCTCCATTTATTGCAGGAACTCTACGACTGGGTGTGTATTAGAGTAGGGACCCTCGAAAGACACCCACTTCCGTACTTCCAACAGATGGGATTTCTTGCACCTTTCGCGTGCGTGGCACATGCACCTGGTGGGACGAAACCATCCCCTCGACGCTCCTTCCATCTTGCCAAACACTCCATGTACAGGGCCGATCAGGTGGGGGTTGAAAACGCTTGGACCGTCGGATCCTCCAAAGTACCTTAGAACATGGGACATGACGTATGAACCTTTAAGAAAAACCAATACCACCGGGGCACCCTCTTCCGAGGAACGAACGGGTCTACGACGGCGGGGGTCCCGAGCGACTCTGAGCATTCGTGGAACGGAGCAAAGTGGCAGTGCAGCATGTGGGACGAGCGAAAAGGAGCTGTTCTATACCACTTTGCTATAGGATTTGGCGCATTGTGGAAGAGAACTTAGTTGGATGGTCTTTTTTCGCAAAGACTGAATCGTGTAGACTATTTAAACATAAATCTACTATTATAAAGGGCAAAAATCGGCAAAGCACTGTGTCTCTGGGACGTGTGCGAAAACCTGTTGTTTCATGCAAAACAGCCAAACAGCCAAACAGCCCAGATCCTGAGCCTCGAGCTTTTGGGTGCATCGACTGAGCTCCGCGCTCGCTTGAAGCAGTACTGCTGTCAGATGTAATACTGCTCAACATAAACTCCTGCATGGAGATCATGACGCGACGCGGCGAGGCTCGCGAGGCGACCCGTCTTCCGCGCTCTGGATCGGTGCACCGGCGGACTCGTCCGAGAAGGCACAGCGTCTGGGAGTTGCCGACAGATGGTCCAGCAAATCAACAACACCTATCCCGGACTATCCCATGTATAGTAGAGAAAAATGAGCTAGACCAAGGAGATGTGTGCTTCTCCCTGCGGATGGGACTTGTAGAATGTGAAAGCCAGCGACGAACCGCGATCGGTGAATTCCACCGGATCAGTGAATGCCATGACCATCCATGCAACTGGCATAGTTACCAATCAGATGGGGTGGTTTCAGGGGGGGTAAATATGCCAATCCCATGGATGGTCTGGAACAAACGCGACCTCGCCGTGATCGAGATCAGAAACTCTAGACATGAAGTTTTTCAACACATGGAACACCCAGGTGTGAAGGCGTCGGGTTCCAACTACACCCTGCAATACCCTATATAGGATCTCTTGGTTGGTCAAAAAAGCAACTCTACTCGCACGAACACGTGTTTCCGAATGAACACAGCAGGCAATCCCTCATGACTTCAAAAAGAGGTTAAGTGACCTTATAGAACCTTACTGGGGTACCCAACTGGGATAGTCTATAGGCTTCAACCTCTGTTCCAACCAGTGGAACGACAGGGGCCGCACCCCAACACCTGCACTCCTTCAGTCAGAAGCGGACTACAACCATGCGTTCTCTCGCACAAGTCACGAGGAGCGAGGAGGTGTGCACTACACCACTACACCGGTTCGGACGTCGGTGCAGTCTTCCCCGCCCCTCCGAGGCGGCGATCGAAGCACCGCACGACCGTTCGGCCGATCAGGGAGACCATCGAACGAGCAGGTCATCACCTATGACGCATCGATCTCGGTCACCCGAAGACGAAAACAGGAAGGGAGGTTAGGTGCAGAGCCTTGACGCTTCACCGGTGCGCGAAGCATGGTTTCACCGAAAACATGAAAGCAACAGGATACAACCCCTGGAACTGGTGACGTGGAGAATGGCCCCTGAAGGAAGACCATGTTCCACAAGCAGGTGGTGCCATCCACGGAAACCATGGTGAGTTCGGAGAGTAGCAGCCCGGGAGAACCATTCCGGCCGGTCAATCGAGTCGTCCGTGCAGGGCAGTCCTCCGTCTCTGATGGTACATGTTCCAGGGGCTTCTTTTGCGTGACGCAGCCGGAAAGATGTTCCATGGAACCTGGAACCTCAAAATGATACCCTTTGGAAGACTAGCTTTCTTCAACACCAGTGGCTTGGTTCCATGGTGGGTCTCTTCCAGGGCGGACTGGAGGTTTACAGCGCGGCCCGCTGGGCAGCCCAGCGCAGCCCCATCCCTGGCAGCCTTTTGTTCGCATCGCCGATCAAAATTTCGGTGACTCCTCTGATGACCTCTCAGGTGATATCCACTGGAGGGGCCAGAAATGCATGCATTGACAACTCGAACCCTACAGGTCAAAGACCTCATTCTACTGAAATTGAGCATAGAAACAATATACAACAGATTACAAAAGACTACAGTATACTTCATGAGGTGTTATTTCAGTACCAGTTTTTACGGCGTCTTTGGACCTGTAACAGTTTTTGAGCATCCAAGCTAAGCTATGCGTGTGTCCATAACTCATGGGCTCTAGGCACCACCACGAAGTCGAGTGGCGTCTTCGAATCGCTAACCATAGAAGACACCTGTTCACCAATGCTGAGAGTCTGAGCTATGAGGACCCTCCAACTGGTCTCTATATACTGTACTTGAGGGTTGTTGAGCCCTAAGAGGCCTGAATTGGCAACCTGTTGGAGGGTCCTGATAGCTCACACGATTCAGGTCGCCCATACTGACACACTCACTCAGCGCCAAACACGCTGGAAATCAAGATTCGCAGGGAATGCCTCTCAGACAGATCACCATCTGAAAGAGCTGTGGATCGTCACCCTGTGATCAGCAAAGCCTCTCAGCGATTTGCCTCCCGCACGTGTTGCGCAGGTGCGTGCTGCACAGCTTCTGGCCGCTGCACCACTGGCCCAAGCAGGCGCGCATTTCGAATCCCCGGAGCAGCCGGGAAGGCTGCGAGACGGTGTCCAAAACGTTCCAGCAGCTTCTCGCTCGGAGCTGCCAAGTCCAAGGCATTGAAGAGCTGCGACATGGGCATTAACGGAGCTTCAGCTCGATTGCACACCTTTGGGTGAGTGCTTTTGAGCCGGTGCTGTCAAATTTGTCGGTGTGATATCGCTAGCAATGAACCTGATACAACCTGATCACTTCCTGGAGCCTCTATGAAAGTGTAACATGAGATGAACTTGAGGTGCATGCAGTACTTATACCTACACAAGGGTCATGTCCCATTGGCCATGTATGTTCTTTTTGAGCGTCTACCGAAGAGGATCTCTTGTTAATATAGGTTAGAATATAGCTGCATATATATAGCTTTGGAGGGAGGCCTATCCTTTTGGCGGTGGCTCACAAATAGAGTATACCGAATCATGGCACCTTAAAGTTGTCCAGACAAAAAGGCAGGGTCGCAAACAATGGCCTCGGGGCGATTCATACATACAACGAGAAGAACCTCTCCTCCCCAGAACCACTCTGATATCTTCGTCCCTGCTTGCAGCTAGACTCTCTTCAGAAGTTCAATTTCGTAGCCGACACGTGGGACATCACCCAGCCAATCGAAACGGCAAGAATCATTGCCTGTTGTTCGTGGAGAAATGCCAAACGGCATCAGACGGCAAAATGATTTGCCATTGGAAGATCCAGGTATAGATGTTCAACAAGTCTACTTGCACTTGGAGGGCTTTCTAAGATCATCTCCTCTCCAGCGCTTCATGTACTTCGTACTTCACCAACTCCTGGACTCCCCTCGGTACTTCACGGCGTCCTTGCGCTTGAGTCTGCTGGTTCCATGGGGCACGTACTGCAGCGTGGCGTTCGAGTCCTCCTGAGGCGGAAGCACGGAGCGGACGGAGGCGGTGTTTCCGGAGCTGACGGGAGCGGCTGACGGGAGTGCCCAGGGGTGAAAACCCCTGGAGCTGACAGGTTGAGGATTCGAGGACGACCTGGAGCTCCTGGAGCTGAATTCCCGGACCTGGGCTGCTCAGGTAGTTAGGACCCTCCCACAGGACCCTCCTGGTACACCAACCACCCATAGAAAGGCAATCAACGTGTAGCTGCTTGAGAGTCTCAATGATCTGGAGACTTCATCGAACGTCCAGATGGACCCTGGTGAGATCATCCCATCCATCTCAGAAGGTGACAGTCCAACAGTCCAACCACCCAACAAGCACCCAATCCAACCCCCCAACCACCTTCAAACGCAGACTGAAGCCCTAGGGCCTGGGGGATACATGGACCCTCCAGTTCGTAACCCAAGTACATCTGAAATAGGTCTGATTGAACCCAAATTTCTAAAAGTACGAATAGAGGGTCGCAGGACGAAAAAGAGTGTTCGGTCAAGCATCCATACTACAAGTACTTGGCAAAGCGATATGGATCCTCTCAGATCCTCTCAGGGATTTGTTCCAAAGACTCATACATCTTCGAACTCGCGATCCAACTCATTGACATCGTGTACGTCGGTAACCGGACGTACACTTTGGTATATGGGAGTTGATCTAAATTCCTTTATCCGGGATCCGTCATTTTCGCCAAAAAAAACATTACTTTCGCCAAACTTTCGCCTTCCTGCGTTTTATCTTTCGCCGAAGTACGTTGTATTTATGTGTGCCATGTATGTTGTGTTTTGTTCACGTCAATGGCTTCTTCTTTACTGGCAAACACAAAATAGAAACTTCACTGTTTGTCAGCATGCGTCTTCTACTTAACTGTTGACACCCTGTACGTCTCTTTTGTTTCTCCTGGGTGTCAGCAAGACTCAAATTTGCAAGAATCACTGTAGTAGCCGGTCACTCAAACTTACTCATAATGGGCTGGGGGTCAGATGTGGCAGGGTGAACTTTCGCCAATCTTGAGCTGAACTTTCGCCAAACTTTCGCCTTTTGCGGGGTAGAGTTTTGTGGCAAAGCAACCCCCCAAAGCAGGAGCAGGAATAGTAGTAGTAGTAGTAGTAGGAGTAGTAGTAGTAGTGGTGGTGGTAGTGGTAGTGGTAGTGGTAGTGATAGTGGTAGTGGTAGGTAGTGGTAGTGGTAGTGGTAGTGGTAGTGGTAGTGGTAGTGGTAGTGGTAGTGGTAGTGGTAGTGGTAGTGGTAGTGGTAGTGGTAGTGGTAGTGGTAGTGGTAGTGGTAGTGGTAGTAGTAGTAGTAGTAGTAGTAGTCGCAGCAGCAGCAGGTTATCTAACTTCCACAGCTCATCTAGCTTCTGAGTCACTGCCACCAGCTGTTCAGAAAGCAAATGAACATTCATACAAAAGTACATATTTAATCTTTCGCCAAAAAAAAATTTACTTTCGCCAACTCGAGAAAAAACTTTCGCCAAATGAGATTTTGATATGTTCCGGGTCATCGTCATACACACTGCTGACTAGGACCTTTAGATCGACAACCATATATCGGTATATCCAACCTCTTGGGTGGACCCAGATTGGGTAGGCCGGCATAGGTATAAGCAACAATTCAGCATCAACGAAGCATGTGAAGTTTTTCCCTTGAACTCTGGAATCTTCCCATTGATGCAGGATGGATCACCTCAAGTCGTCCATCAAACCAGCCAGGCTGACCTTTTGACATGTTGGAAATGAACACCTGTGGGGTGTGCATCTTCAAAAAGGCCTTTTCCACTCTCTTTCATGGAACAAATTCCTGTCCGACCCCAACAATTATGGTCCTTGACTTCAAACAATATTCTCCGGAGTGCATCCCTTTACCCGAAGACTCGCATCCTTAGTCCTTTACCTGAATTGATCTCCATTCCGGGGTTCCCACTAACCATCCAAAACCGGTTTTTCCCCTATAGCAAAATACATGGTGTTTGTCTGTACCTCTATGTTTTTAAAAGAGTTTGAGGATGTTTGAGGGCCACTGGTTGTTTTTTAGATCTCAAAAGGAGAGTAGACAGTCCCAGACTCCAACTTGGGTTAATTGGAGCGACGCTGTTCATCACAGCGTTCCAGACCTGTGCTGTTTGTTTTTAGTTGGTTTATTGTCCAGAGTAATTGGATATAGAATGGCAGTGTCTTCCTCTTCTCAATTTCTCTCTCTGGACCGGACCTGACTTCAAGGATCCTAGGCAAATGGGGGCATGACCCTACCCAAAGGCTCATGCCACCCGAACCAACTGCTACCCGTTTGCGAACGGGTCGGGTCCTTTCGCTTCGCCTTTGGGTATGAGGATTTAAAATCCTTGTGCCCATGTTCCGCTAGTACCTGGATAGTACCGAACATGGTGACATGATCCGAACAAGAAACAGGTAGGACTGCAGTCATCTTGTGCCCATGGTCGTACCTTCACGGGTCGAGTCTAGGTACAAACTAGCAGGACTCCGGGGCTCGGTACCTTCCCTGCAACCCAGCCGGACCGACCCACGGGTGTTCGACCCGTATGTTGGGGATATTTGGGGAGAGCAACTACTTCGAGTCAGAGACGGCGGGATCCTCTTCCAAACTCTAACAACCCTCACCTGACAGGGGAAGAAACAACTTCAAAGACCAAACAAGACAGACACACCTAGAGCTTCCCAATCACCTGTTGATCCCCTGGTTGGTTCGGTCACTGTTCGGCTTGTATAAAGGCCACGACTAGGGGACTCCAGTTCCTTCCATCACTGGGAAGGTCCTGGCATACACAACTCCATCCTCTCCATCCTCCGTTGAGGGCCAAATCCAACAGGGCCAATCCAGTGACTCGAGCCGAGCCAAGAAAAGCTCAGCAGCATGACACGAAACAGTCCTCTTCAAGATCCTGAGTTCCATCTGCCAGCAAGGCGGCCGACAAGGCAATGGGCACCTGCATGGAAAATATGGAAGGAGCGCGGAGTCTTCACATGTGAAGCCTTTCCCTAGGGCTCCAAGCACCTTCTGAGAAGGTGTTTGGAGTGGGTTTGGAGGGTCCAAATACCTTCTAAGAAGGCACTGGGAGCCCTAGAGTTTGCGGCTCCAATTCGAGAAGGTGGGCACATCGCACGCATTGTGCGCACCACCCCAGTCCCCTGCAAAACGAGTTTCAGAGGTGAGGCCTGAGCAACGAAAATGGATGAGGTATGGGTTGAAGACTTTGGAAGGCTCTTTGGAACGATGGGGGACCACTCATCGAAGAGCCAAACTGGATACCCAACTGATTGGGAAGGGTGACTTCTAAGCTTAGAATCGGATGGCACCTTAGATCAGAATCAGACCAGAACCAGAACCAAATACAGAGACTCTGTCAATAAACCGAACAAAAACACCTTCCCAAACTGGATTGGCATGCTGCCTACCTGACAGGGCGGGTGGTTGAGTGGATGGCGGGATTGGCCGGTTTGGATGCTCGTTTGGTCGTCCAGTGGTCGTCGAGATGCTGATGATGGATGACCCAAGCACATCCGAAACAGGAGTCAGGTGCAAATCGTTGCAGTCTCCCACGTGATCCTCTAAAAAGACATACACACAGTCACATAGCACACACAAACACAAAATCCACCAGGAGTCACATGGAGTTGGATGGTTCTTTGTTCTCTAAGTGGATGTGACCAGGGCACCCCGACTTCATCCAAGTTCGGCATCCCTTCGGAACTACTGGCAGGTGCTTGTGCGCGCCTATTTCTGGGAGTACTTAAACAGCGTAGGTAATTAGATCCATCATCTGGGTCTGGGTTTGTTTAAAACTATAAGGAGATCCTCCAAAAGGCTCCCGAGAAGAGGAAGAATCAATTGGCCCAAGAAAACCTCCTAAACATTGGATTTGCTCAAGCAACCGGAAAAACAACAACAACACAAATCAACCAGCAGTCACAAGACGGGGTGCGATCCATGGAGGTAGTCGGGGTGCCCATTATCCACTCACTCTGGGACCAAACACCACCCCTTTGTGACTCCTGGAACACAAAATCAACACATGTTTTTTGCCAGAAGTGGATAATACCCAGGATCGCCTCTTCCGGCAACACCAGGACACCATTGTGGTGCTCCAATGGGTTCAAGGAATCCCCAACGACCAGCGGCCCTCAGTTTCCCGTGAAAAAATCCAGTTGTTCACATACTCTACACCGACTTCGTCGTACCTCCTCAGAAGGTATGACTGGACCCTCCTGGCACCCACCCCAGTCCCACCTTCGGTGGTCTTAATTGGTGACCGCTCTTTCGATGGGATCTCCTCAAAACCCCAACGGCAGACCGCGCACTTGGTGGCCCGAAGACCAGGTGGCGACCGTGCTGCGCGTAGCGCGTGCGCTGCGCGTGCTGCGCCTGCCCTCCAAAGAAGCTGCGTGCGACCTCATCGACGTTTCGATCCAATCCTCCGAATCAAATGAGCCAAAGGTTTGGCAGGGTTTAGGGTTTAGGGTTACCTCTTTAAGGATCCCTTTTGATTGGTGGCCCGGAGTCCGAAGGCTTGTTTTTGGAGCTAAAATCATCCTACCTCCTTTGAAGGTAGCTTGACCCTAAAAGTATCTCAGAAAATTGGTACAAGTATATACCTGTTTCTAGGGGGTCATGATCCATTTACAGGTATCTTGGACAGTCCAGGGCATGAGACATACTCAAACCATCAAACAAAACCCCGCAAAAACTGCCTTCAATTGCCTTCATCTATTCTTCAGAATTCAGATATTTATACCCACATTAACAAGAACCGGGTCTATGAACACCCGATGAGGGTCCAGGCATCCTGAGGATGTCTTTTGGCCCCAGTTGGACCATTCTCTTGAGCACTTTTCACCTCCCAAACCATCCTCAGGAGGTACCTGAACCCTATGGGAGAGGTTTTGGTGCTGAAGGTATAGGCATGTAGCACTTTCGGATGCCTTTCCAATGGAGACCCACACCCTGGAAGACTGAACATGGACCTTTGGAAGACTACCTTCCTTTACAACCAGTTGGTTTTCTGGTTCGATGTGAATCTCCCAGGGTGTACGGTGTATGATTGTATATCTTGGGTTTACGTCACGAACATATACCAGGACCACTACCAGGACCCACAAGGGGTGGTTCATGGACAACCTTTAAGGGGCTATCAATGGAAGCCCCTGGTCCGGGTGGCCTGATTCACCCACAATAAAACACCTCATGTTTGAATGGCACGCCCGGAGTCCAGTCCACGTGGGTAGAGAACTTCCCTTCGGAGACACCAGCTGCTTCCCTACCCGCTACATCCCAGCTTTTGCAAATGACAGTGACATGGCCCTAAAACAACAAGCCCTATATAGGCCTCCGGGCGCACCGAACCTGAGGTTCGGTGGGACTGGGGAAGTTTCGGGGGTTGGTTTTTTCGGATCCAAATTCCAAATTCCAATTTTCTGCAAGTGATGTAGGATCTCTATCAACCTGTGGAGTTGGGGTCGACCAAACCTGGGGGCCGACAAGCGAACATGCAGGTACGATGCTCCAGGACCGACGTCCTTCGACCATTCGACCTGGTTTCGTAGTAGTCTACAACCCTTCGATTCGACCTGACGTTCTACTTGGACCCCGGAGAGGCATGCCCCCTTGAAGGCCTCCTTTCATCGATCCTTCTATCCACGTGGCATCAATGGGCCGACGGCCCTCTTTGTTGCGTCTGTGGACATCAGCGCCAGCGCAAATCAGCTGCCTTGCGAGCCAGCGATGCTTCTCCGAAAGCCGTTCGGCCCGTTCGGCCCGAGCCCGAAAGACCAGTTCCTTTGGGGCTCCTGGCATAGCTGGTTAGGGTGGGTGCCAGGGAGGTCTGTGTCCAAACCTGAGGATATATGGGTTTAGGGTTCCCTTATGGGGGTTTTGCGAGGTCTTTGGTTTGTAACATGACGTCAATCGAAAGCAGGAGATCAAGTTCGGTCACAAATGGAAGAACCAGTTCCAAGCACCCCCAGAAAAATAACGGCCACAGCAAGGCCCAAAATTAATGGGCTGGGGCAGCTCGTAATTCGTATACATCTACAAAAGGGGTACTCTCCTGGACCCTCATATTATGAAGACATTCGGTCCCGAATCCTGGGGTCAGGGGTCAGGTACTGGGTCAGGTGTTTCTCACCAATCCCGGTTTTGAGGACCAGCTGTGAAGGGAGCGTGGACCAGATAGTGCTTGAAGTCGGGTCCAAGTCAAGTGAAATCTCACCATCTTCCATCCGAGCTCCAGTCCACCTTCCCTAGGGATCCACATACCTTCTCGGGTTCGGTACGACTGGACCCGACCCAGGCACCTGCATAAAAGTGTGGAACACATCGCCGTACCCCATGAAGGTATGTGGCTTCATCATGTTCCATACCCATTCGGCCTCCAGTCGTACCGAACCTGACGTTCGGTGGGGGCCCGGGTGCCAGGGTCCAGCCATACCGAACCTCAGGAGGTACGAAAACGGAGGTGTAGGGATATGGGCTTTAGACCAAGCGCGGTTGGCCACCCTTCCCAGTCCTTCATCCACACCAGGTCCCAGGTACCAATCGCTCGGTTCGGAAACCCGACGGACGGAGGAAGGGGGGGGTGGAGGATCAAAGAAAAACAAACACAACAAAACAAACATTGGCGATGTTGCAATAAAAACAAAGCACAAACGACGATCAACATTAAGACAAACAAGGGTCCAAAAATAATTCAAGGTAGGTAGGTAGGTAGGTAGGTAGTAGTAGTATTAGTAGTAGTAGTAGTAGTAGTAGAAGTAGTAGTAGTAGAAGTAGTAGTAGTAGGAGCAGGAGCAGGAGCAGGAGCAGGAGCAAGCGGGAGTAGAAGCATAAGAAGAAGAAGAAGAAGAAGCAGAAGTAGAAATAGCACTTGGAACAGCAGTAGTAGCAGTAGTAATAGTTGTTGTGGTAGCAGGGGGAGCAGCGGGAGTAGAAGCCGAAGAAGAAGCAAAAGTAGAAATAGCACTTGTAAAAGCAGCAGCAGCAGCAGGAGCAGGAGGAGTAGTAGTAGTAGTAGTGGTGGTGGTCATGGTAGTTGTAGTGCAGAAGCTTCCACGCAAATTGCGGGGCTGTAGTGGGGAGTGGGGCTGGGCTCGGTCACTAACATGCGTGGGGCTCCGAAACTGGTAGGGTAAGTAGTAGAGGGGGAGTAGTAGTGGTAGTAGTGGTAGTGGTAGTGGTAGTAGTAGTGGTCGTCGTCGTAGTCGTCGTAGTAGTAGTGGTAGTAGTAGTAGTAGCAGTAGCAGTAGTAGTCGTCGTCGTGGTGGTGGTGGTCGTGGTAGTGGTAGTAGAAGTGGTGGTAGTGGTAGTGGTATTGGTAGTGGCAGCAGTGGTGGTTCGTTCTTTCTTTCTTTCTTGCTTGTCTCTTCCAAGTATTGTTTCTTGATGTCTGTTTGTGTTTGATGTCTGTTTGTGTTTTTCTTGATCCCTATTTTGTTTTTTTTATCCCTCTCCCGGAAGGGGGGTCCCAGGAGTTCCACCGGTCGTGTGAACCACTTGTTCATGACCATCCGAGCTGGTTGGTTTTTATATCACGGTAGATCCATCTATTCCCCAACCAAATCCAGTACCGTGTCAGACACTGAGACATGCATAGGTGCCTGGGTCGGGTCCAGGATACCGCACTTGAGGGTCGGTACGAAAACGGATCCCTTTTGAGCTGGGAAGGATAGACACTGAAATGATGGTCATGTGGAGATCTCGTTCGGCCTCCAGTCGTGGAGATCCCGTTGGCGCCAACAAATCCAACGGAACTTGGCACCATCACCCCTGTCCTTCCGTGTCCAGACCCCGCAGCCTCACCATCTCAACATCGCCGCGCTTGGCGGCGAAATGCCTCCGTGCCCGCAGCGGCTGGGAAAGCGAAAAAGCCAATTGATTCCCCCCACCCCCACCGGCTACCCGTCAACACCTCCAAAAAGTAAAAACAAGAAACGCTTCAGGTGGCATGGTCTCTCAACCCTAACCCCTCGTGGGCCGGGAAGTTGCATTCTGATCATCTCCTTCCAGGAAACAGTATAGAAGGCGAACCATGAGACCTGGGAGCCTTCATGGCATATTCCCTAGGCTTCCTGGCCCATGAATGTAAATACCCTTTTAGCAACCACTTAGAGGCTTTAGCTCACCAAGGTCTTACCAGGTCGTTCCCAATTAAACTCCCAACTTCAGTACCGTTCTGACAGAGTCTGTCACTGCTCCTCCAGTCTGAGAACCTGGAGAGCTCAAAATCTGCCAAATTCTGCAGCCGTCCGTGATCCGGTGTTATGATGAAACTGCAAGACCCGATGATTCAGCAAGGGCCAGGTCCCTGAAGCACCCCCCCAAGCATCCCCCAAACCCCACTCAAACGGAACCGGTAACCATTGTCTCTCTTCTACACTAGCTCACTTTGCTGTCCAACCGTGTGCAACCATTGAGGCTTGAAATCGCCTTAGAACATCCTTAAGCAGTGGTTGTTGAATGTTGTTGACTTACGAAGCTGGACCCCCAATATCCAGTGCTCCTCTCTCCCACCGACGTGGTTCGCTCCCACCACGCTGTGACGTCTTCAGTTCGTGAGGGGCCTTGAGGTGAAACCCTGCTGAAACATGCTGAAACCCATTTGTAGGGATCCAGTCGTGCCTTCTCAGAAGGTAGGACTGGACCCTCCAAACCTATATAACAACGCATCACATGTATCTCCAATTACCTTGTGACGAAGATGTGACAAGGTACAATGGTATAACAGAATCCCTAGGGCATAGGCCCCCAACCGCGACCCCGTCAACGTTCACAGGCCGGTCAAGTCGTTTCGCTGATCCAACGAATCCAGGGTGCAAGGGTGTGGAGTGCTGCAGCAGGGCGAGCTCTTGAAAGGGTCGGTCGGGCAAAAGTTTGCTCCCCATGCGCACCATCTGTGAACGGCCAACGAGTTCGGTTTGACCACGGAGAAAACCGCGGCCAGCGACGTGACCCGTTTTCGTCCGAACTGGCGGGAGCCAACGTGGGCCCTAACCACTCTCAACGAACGACCCGTCGGAGGGGTGCTGGGGGGACTGTGGCGGTGGTGGAACTGTTCGTCCAGCACCGGATGGTTCTGCTGTCTGGACCACGCCGAGTGCGGATGGATGTCGGCACGGGCCGTCCGTGATGTACTGGCGTCCGTGACGGTGACGGGCGTTTTGATGGAGTTGACAAATAAGCCAAGCCCCAGCTTTCAAAGACTGTACGTTGTAAGTTGATGTAAGTTGAGTTATAAGACTGTCAGACTGTAAGGCCTCAAAAATGGTTGTAAACTGTAAAATCCTTGAAAAGAACATGAAAATCGATGAAAGTTCAGCTCCAGTCCTACCTCCGTTTCGGTGAAGGTGGGACTGGGGTGGGTATGGGTGGGTGGTTGGTGGGGTCTGTGGGACAGGAGGCCGGGTCAGTCCCTATACCTTCTCAACAAACATGATGATGCATGACTCACATGATGATCTCGTCCGACATGAACACCTGCATTGCAGTATAGTGCCCAAAGGCTCATTGGACCTTCAGTTCGCTAGGGTTTTGACCCTCACAACCAGGGTTTTGGACCTCAAACAGGTAGCAGCTTGAGGGTCCATGAGCCTCTGGGTGAATACATCCCCAAGCAACTGCATGGCCTGCATTTGGAGTGTTTTAGCTGTGAACTGTGGTGAATGTAGAACCCCCCTAAGCCACTGCGTTGTAGAGGAACATGGTCTTCCAGGAGCAATTCTCAGAGTCCATGTTAGTCACTGTTAGTCGGTGTGGGCGGGGAAGAATTATGATTGCATGTCCGGCTTTCAAGTGAAGATCTGGAACCAAGCAAGTGGCGCACTTGTGCTCGGTCTTTTGGTATGCCCGGGGTCTATCTGCCCATGAAACCAATCCGACCTCTGATACCACTCCCTGGTTCTGCAAACCGGACTCAAACAAACACACAAACCCCTCGAAGTGTTTCAACACATCTTTCAAAAAAACACACACATCTCATCTTCCATCCAAATGTCCATCCCCCAATCCTTTTGTTTTGGTTCATCCCCCAAACGAAAAAAAGGTCCATTTCCGAGGATGTCCGAGGGGAAGGCTGCGCCTTCAAAGCTCCCGCAAAGAACTGGGTATGCGCATTCCAGGTGGTGTTCACTTCGCATCCGCAATCCAAGAGCACTTGAAGTGCTTCACATTGGCTGTCCTCATTGTTGGCCTCGCAGGCTACCCAGGCTTGGTCACGAACGACGCGCTGCGACTCACGCTGCGCGGGTCGTGTTCTTGCCTCGTCCATGTCGAGACACCCCCCAGGCATGGATTGAAGAACCTCCTTCAGGTTTGGGGGGGTGGAATCTTATGCATCTTGAGTGTCCCCATTGATGATGAAGTGATTTATTCTTAGAGCTGAACACCAGCTTCTGAGAAGAAACCCTCCAAACCGCCCCAAGCACCCAAGCACCCAAGAATGGACGTCAAACGGAAGTCGGTTTCCAAGCGGAGCGTTGGCGCCACAACTCGTCGAGACGAGACATTCCACAACGTACATGATGCTTTTGGGAAAACAGCTGACTCGCTGTTGTGGTCAAATACTCAGAAACAAAAAACAGGTGGGAGACACATGGCGACAACAGCAAGGAGCGAGCGAAACTGATTGAGGTGAGCAGTTCTTTGGTAGATTCGAAAGAGGATGTTGTAAATCCCACACTGGGAGAAGGTGCACCACAACAGGGAAAAAACAACAAGGGGCTTTGTGCCTCAGGGTGGTCTTTTCTGCTGGAATGGTGAGTTTGTCGTCCTCCAAATGGTTATCACTTCCGCCTTCTTTCACAGCGATCTTTTATTTCAGATCCACCCCCCAAATGAATGGTTTGAACATCTCGGGTCTGAACCAAACACACATATACCGAACAAATCTGTAGTCGCTCTTGTTTGGCATATATATTTGGGAGGCCCTTTCGCTGGACAAAAAGGGGCAAAAAGAGACACCCAATTGATCAAAACATATCAAAACCCTTCTTGGGCTGTCCAGTTTCCTCCTTTAAGGGTTTAAGAAACTAAGGGTCCATGAGGGTTTTGCGCGATTTCGTCCAGTCGATGCCTCACGAGTTCTTGCAGTCGAAGCATCTTCCTCACAACCAACAAAGAAATGCTTCGAACCCATCTGGTCGGAGCCTTCCTGTATACCTTTGGTGCCAACCTCCCTTCGGTTCCGAGCCGAGCAAAACTCCTTTCGTTCCAAAAAGCCCTAACCCCCGTCCGATACGCGTATCGGGCGAGCGGCCACCATACAAAGCAGGGAGGATTCTCCGCCCCAGCGATGTTTCTGCGTCAACTTCGCTCCACCCTGGAAGGGATGAAACAGCTTGCAACGAGGGAGGGCGTTTGGAACGGTGAGAGTGAGGCGGGATGGCTATCCTATGACCTGGATGTATTTAGTGTCTCTTTAATAAATAGAACTTCCAGCTTCTTCAAAAATAATCTCTTTGGAGTGCCAGCCAGTGACCTTTCGCAGGCCCAAGCGACCTCAATCTGGGATATCAAGTCCGGTCACTTTGAAGAACCAGGTTGTATAACAATATTATAGACTATACTAGACTATAGATATGTTACATACCAGCACCCATTGAAAGCTGTTAGGAACCCTGCTGGTATACATATACAGTATTCATATATGTACCGCAATGAATATGCACAACACCATAGGATCATTATATAAACGAAATAGTATAGGATCATTAAAAGGTCTCTGAACATCTCTTGGGCCAGGGTTGAAAAAGGCATACTCGGGCATTGTCCACTGGCTTTTGTCTAGCACGCAAGTCATTAAGTTCGCTCCCGGGCAGGTCGAGCAATGAGCAGCCAATGGCAAAAGGGGATATCCCCAGGCATTAAAAATGTGCAGCTGCTTCGGAAAGTAATCTCTGCAAACTTCACAAACATGAAAACGATGCCATGGCAATACCACAAACAAAGATAAACAAAGCAGGATCGCTTTGAACCACCAGGGAGAGAATGTTCTCTCAAACACGGAAAAAACACACTCGTTTGATGTTATGTTCTCTTCTTTGGACATCTGAAGACATGTTCTCTTCATTTGGGATCAGTCATCCCCACAACTAAATACAGTAATCTAAAGCCGCCAGCCCTACTAATGCTTGCTCATTTGATCCCATTTGCTGGAACATTCAGTTTCAAAATGCCAGCCCAGAGAGTTCCATAGAGTTCCATGTAAGAAGAACACACAAACAAACCATATCTTCCTAGGACCTGAATGACCTCTGTTTTGGACCACCAATCACAACCCCAAAACATGGTCTTTTCCTACTAAAAAGGAGGTCAATTGGGTTCTAGGTATTAAGTGGGTCCCTGCAAAGAACCAAAAAACACCAAAACTCCATGAATCTCTAGGAGCCAGTGCAAATAAAAACTCCGTATATAACCTCTAAGGGATCACTTCGGGGGCCCCAACTGTTAGTTGCATCTTCACTCTCTTTCACAGGAAAGATCTTGGCCGTCCACCCGAAAGGGGAGGACTGCGGACTGCCTCGAGCAGGGCTTTCAGCACAGGCGCCTCGTGCGCATGTCTTGGTGCATGTCTTGGTGCGTGTCTTGGCGCTGCAGGTGGGTGGGTTGCTTAGCTTGGACCATAAGACTTATAAGAAAGCAGAAAAAGGATGATTGCTGAAAGATTGCAGGAACACCAGCAGCTTCCGGTCTATGACTGAAGTCTTCAGAGAAAGCAGATGGCCCTCGTTTCTGGTTCCTTGGGTCTCCAGTCCTCCCGGTCGACCAATGGGCCGGCGACCATGACCACCCTGGTGGCCGGCTATGCCCTGCTCTCCCTTCCCTAAGAACAAATCAATCTGTCTTTACCATCTTTACCATAAATGCAAAAAAAAACGAAATGGAACATCACGCAGCTGGTGAGGAGATGATGGGTGAGGATGTTTTTCTGATGTTTGGTACTGAACACTACTTAAGATTCAGACGTTTGTTCTACTGTAATTTTTCGGGTGATTGGTGAGGATGGTGTGCAACAGATCCAAGCCGGTCCAAAACATCGCGAGGAGCTCTGCATGGAGTGTCTCAAAGACTCAAAGTACATCAGAAAATCAGTGCAAGTACCTGCTTTGGGGGGGCCATGTCCCATTTTCTATAAGGATCTATAAGGCAGCAAAGCCCAGTTTCTCCCAACGTCGCTTCTTGCACGTCGCATTGTTGGCCTCGCCTTGTTCGTGCCACTGCAGACCGCAGCACACAACGGACTCATACCTCGAGCGAGGGAAAAGGTATCGCACGCGTCCTTTTTGCAGCCGAAGATGGACGGCCTTTCCCTCCCAAACATTCTGCTGAGAGGTCGGACCCGAATCCTTGGGTCAGGGGTCTGGGGTTTCGAAAACCAATCCTGATCGGTTTGGTTCGGGACCAGGAAAGGGGCTGAGCACTCACAGAGCGTCTGGGTCTGGGTAGTACATTCAATGCTTGTTCGTTCTGAATCTGTGTCACGCAACGTGGAAGATCATTTGACCATCAAGGTGCGGACTAATGGAAGTCTATGCTGAATCAAGCAATACATCAAGCTTTGCTCCATACACACACACACCATCACAAAGCTCTTGCTTCCTCTTACAAGCAACAATTGCTCATCAACTTAAGGTGGCGGTAGCAGGAGATTTGCGGGCGGAAGAGACATGGAGCTCTTTTTTCCAGAATCTTCTGAATGGGTCGTCGAGGAAATAGAAACGGCGGCAAAACTAATCTAACATAAAAATACATAAAAATACCAGATGATGGCATGTTTTCAATTGTTTTCATACATTCGGGTGGTGGAAAAGAGTCTCACTCAGAGTCTATACATGGAGCGTCTTGAATCTAGCACAAACCATCAATATGGGTTCCGAGGGCAGGGCCCCAAACACGACTCATGGACTGGAATATTTGCCGTCCCACTGGCCCCTGTTCAATCACCCCAATGGGATGGCATATAGATGAAAGTCCCATTAGTCCTGTCTGGGAGAAGTTGATAGAAACCAGTTCAAGGATGTTCAAGGGGAACGCACTCAATATCTTAGCCAAGCACATCCCTTCATCATCAACCTTAAGGACTAAGCCCGAAGGATTCCTCGCTCACCAGAACGAATGAATCTGACATCATCTGACCAAACGACCATGGTTCACTAAGGATATTGGACAGCAACACCAGGTACCAGCCCCCTGTTTTTTCAGATCTTGGAAGGCTAAATATGTATATATATTATATATATATATATCTAGCCGATGCCGGAAGCCGGCAGGGAGGAGTCCTCTGCCTATGGAGCTGAGAGTCCTGACCACGTCCTGAGTCCTGTGTTCACAGTTCGCTGAGTCCTCTCACCCACGATGGGAATGGTGCGTTCGATGTCCCACTTGGGGAAGTTCTTCAACCTGGAGCGGAGCACCGAGCCGGAGGACCCGAGCAAACGCGAGCGGAAGCGGAGCCTTCGGCCGCGCCCAACGAAAGCGAGGGCCGCGCCCACCCTTCGCTTCGCAACGAGTGACTTCACCAGTTGTTTCGTGGAGTGACTTCACCAGCTGTGACATGGTGTGGACATGGTGTGACTGACCCAATGCCTTTCCAGAAAAAAAGAAACATGCGACCCATGGTCTTCGTTTCCTTCCTGCGCTCTTCGGATTTCGGGTCCGGTCCACATTCCGAGCCGCTCTGAGCGGACGTAGCTGCAGCCGTAGATGTGTAGGGAAGAGTGACCCACGTTGGGGGTCAAGTCCGGGTAGCTGTAGCAGGACCTTCCAAGATCCGGTGGTTTTGGGACACTTCGACTCACCTCTTCAGAGGCTATTTATAGACACCTCAGAAGGTGTCGGTCCTGGTACCACCCTAAGAATCTGGGCCCCAAAAGCCAACACCGACGGGTTGGTTCGGGCCCCTTATCCCCCTGCGTTTCAGTGGAGAAGGTCCAACCCCTGCCATGGAGGGCCAAGGATGCTTAGGGCAGCTTCTTCCAAGTTACCTTTTTGGAGTCCCCAAGTGACCTGCTACAGGTTTCTTTGTGATCTCAAACCTAATGATCTTCCGCCCTGTGTCGGACGAGCAGCCAGCCCTTGATGTTCTCAAGGTTGCCCAAGCAGCAAGCGAAGAAGAACGCATCCATGCCTTGAGGAGATGAGGTGGAAAAGCACCCCCCCCTTTTGGAAGGGCCATCACTTCCCCTAATTGATGGAACTGCCACCCTCTGAGGTATGGTGATGTGTTCTAAAACTTTTGTCCTGTAGAGACGGCGTGGAGCTCGTCCAATCGTAAAGAAACCCGAGAATCTCGATGTGGATCCCTAGAATTGGACGAAAGTAACAAAAAGCACCAGTGACACCCTGAAAAAGAACACTAACATGGACCCTAAAAACCACTGGTTGGTGGAGGAACACAATCTTCCAGGGGCCATTGTCAAGGTCTAAGTTAGTTTTTGGGAGTGTGGAGTTGCATACGCTCCAGTGGATGTTGGTGGAAAATCAGACAATCCTGGGGACACCTGTTGCCAACTCATGCAGCTCCCGTACCCAAAGGAGCAGTACAGCAGTCTTCACCCTCTCAAGGAACCGGGAAGGAGTAAAAAAATTATATAGGCTCATCTAGCCTGAACCGGGTGTCCTCCAAACCAACGTACCATTCCAAATCCAACACCCACTTGCTATTTGGAAGACACCCGGTTCAAGCTAGATGAGCCTGTATGTATAAAGTCTTGACCAGTTTCGGGGATTCGCCCAGTTCGGGAAACCAAACACCTGAAGCAAATTGGTATGGCTGCCGGCGCACTTGGCCCATCATAAGATCTAGGGCAGCCGGCCGCCTGTGATCCAGTCTCAAGCTGCACACCACTTGCCCACCCTGCTTGAACTAACGGATTCCGCTTGGAGACCTCCGCGGAACCGACGCTTCGGCCTGGGTTGCCTCCCCCCCCTCTGAGCCGCCCGAGCCGTTGGCCGCGCGTGCGAAGGGGTCCGCACCGTTGTCGAGGAGCGCTTGCACGGTCTCCCAGCCTCTTCGGTCCAAGCCGCGGGGTCTGAACAAAGCGCCGCAACGGGCGAGAGGGTATTGATGAGAGGACTGGAGCCGTATTTGGTAGGGCAGATGGTTGGACCCCCCTGGAACCCACCCTAACCATGTTCTCAGGAGGTAGTTGGAGCCAAGTTGGAGCCTTAGTGATATTAATAGGGGGTCGCTTCTTGTCGTAAGGGTCATGTCATGGAGTTATAAGTGGTAGCATCTATAGTGGTGTATGTCCTCAGCAGCAAGCTAATCCAACCGTCCTTAAAAGGTTTCTGGAGAAGAATGAGGTGACCTAGGGTCTGCGACCCCCTTCGATCTACCATCCAGATGTCTGAAGATGTCCCCTCCGTGGGCTGTAGCCACACTAATGGACAAGGGGTGGAGCCAATGGACCGAACCCTTCGATGGACATCCCAAGGCGCGTTCGCTTCGACTTGGAGTGGGAGGTTTCACCCAGCCGATCCGACAAACCCAGGCAAACGATGCATGAAATGAGGTGGATCGCACTATAACAGTATTCCTTTATGAGAAGAAACAACCTGCCATATTGGTCGAAGACCAGGCTTTGTATAGTCGTCTTTTAGTAGAAGACCTCAATTTGACTGCTCGACCAATCAATGATGGCAGGACATTGGCTCCAGGACAGGTCTCTAGCGCACCTTTTTCATGTGTTGCCGTGGGACTGATGATGCAATGGGTTCCTCCTCATCCTGCCACTTGCCGGCGTTTTATGAGATATGTTTCAATTGTTGGTAGGTTGGGCCAGGTCCAAAACTTGGATTTGTATAAGTTAGGAACCGGGAAACCAAAAAAACAAATATGCTTTGTGGAAGGGAATGTACATGGATGTTCCAGTTTTCAGAAAAACACATAACAAATCACCTTAAGCAAAACCAGCAAAAGGGGCTCTGGGCATCCCTCACTGGCAAAGGCCATGGCCGCCCCCAATGGTCGAACATTCTTCCACATGAAGGCCAGGTGGTAGAAGTGCCTCGCCGTGTCTCCGCGGGACGATGTTTTCCTTTTTGGAAGCCGATCTCTTCAAGCTTAGGGGCTGCACCGCAGGGCAAGCCACCTGACTCATGTCATGGAAAAAAACCCTACAAAGTCCGAGCCAGTAGATCCAAGCAACTTGAATGAACACTCCCGGGCTCTAACTACCTTCGAAGGTGCTTGCTGTGGGTTTGAAGGGTCCAGTCATAACCTGAGGAGATGGGCCAGCCCGAATACGATCCACATCGCCAGCCGTACCTGAGGTACTAAGGAACCGTCGGGTCCAGTGGTACAGGGTCGGCACGGACTGGATCCGGGTAGAAGCCCGGATCCAAACTCCGTACAGACTGGATCCCCAGGTCTGCGCGACCGACACCTTGGACACCCCGACCTTCTAGACGTCTATAGGTAGTCACAGATCTATAGACGCCAGATGAAGGTACTGTACCAGATCTATCTGTCCCTACAGATCCCCGACCTTCTATAGTCTATGGGCCGTCATTGGGTGAGACGATCTATGACAGGTCCGTCCTGCAATCGATCAACGAATTCGGAGGCAAAACCTGACGAACACCTCACATGGTTAGGGTGGGTAAGACACCCCCCTTAGTTGGTAGAGGAAGGACCATGGCCATCCACCAGTGGACAGCTGGGTTTTAAGACTGGCCTGGCGCCTTTTTTGCGTGACTGGTTGATGCTGAAGTGATGGCAATAGGGACAATTAGGGACAACATAATCTCGAAGTCTTTTTGGTTTGAGGTGACCAACCAGACAATAGACAATGGAGATCAATAGAGCAAGAATGAGCAAGGAAATGCCGGTTGTCCCTGTCCCACTGTCCCATGAAATCACTCAGCGATATTTGGCTTGATAACTAACCTTTGAAAACCAGGTATCCCTGGACCCTAAAATAGGGCTCCAAGCTTACCCTTAGAAGGTCAAGGAACCAAACCCCCACCACCCCCACCCCAGTCCCACCCTTCACCATATTCGGGGCCATGTACCTGGACCCTCCTTGTCGTGTTGCTTTTTTGTTTAAAAACCGGAGCGTTTTGCAGATCGGACGTCTTTTGGCTTTCTGAGGGTCCCGTCCCAGGCCACTGCTCGTCCGTCTTCGTTCGCACGTCGCCCCCAAACCGGTCGCGTCGTCGCGCCTCTTGAGGCCTTGATTGACCAGGCAGCCACTGGGATCGTTGGCCTCGAAGCGTCTGACCGGAGGAGATGGGTCTTCTGGGGCTCCGCCATGGTCGGAGGTGTGGAGAGCAAGACGTAGATGGCACATCTTCCCCCAAAAGGTGGTTTACATGTTGGTTTACTGTGGTCTGCTCTTGACTCACACCCAAGTACAGTACGTTTCAGAGTAGATTGCACTGACTGGCACCCCAAGTTGATTCTTGATGCGGGTCCACTACCTGGAAGGTCTTGCGCTGCATGGTGAGCCAGGGCTTCAAATTTTGACCCATCCCCAATTACTTTGGCAGTCTTGGTCCACCATTGATTTATATAATGGTCTTTGTGTCTAGGTGTCTAGAGTTGTACACTAATGTACACTAAGCATCGCTAAGCTATGTGTTTATGTTTCTACACAAGGACGGCAGCCCATCGGAGTGTCAGAGAGAACAAGAAGATCCATGCAAAGAAAATGTTTTTGAGTGAAGCAGCACACCAAATATGTTAAAAAAACAGGGCTCCAAGTACCTTCTGAGAAGGTTAGTTTGGGTCCAAAACCAGCTTCTGAGCAGGTACTTATGGTACTTGGAACCCCACAAAAACATGTTTCGAAAGGATTGGGAACCATAGACCGCCTTCTCGCGTCCGCCGAAAACCGGTACCACAAAGTGGACCACGACCAGGTCCGGGAACATTGTTGGAGCCCTTTTGGGATCCAATCCTTCACCAAGACATCATGGGATGACCAATCTGCCCTACCAGACCTGAAGCCCTACCAGACCTGATTAGGCTCAGCAAGGAAAGACCTATCTTCATAGGTCTTGGCACATGGAGGGCCCAGAGCAGATCCAACCTACATTCCACGCTCCAAGCGTTCGCACTCGTCCGATGGGGCTGAAAACCTCCGCCCCGCTGGCCCCTGGCCGGCTCGGTCGGGGCGCCGCCAGCTCGTTGATGGCGTCGGAGTTGTCGGCGATGGCGGCGCACATCATCAGCGTAAAGCCTCCGCCGCCGCGCGGCTGAAAGCAGCGCGGCTCGGAGCAGCGCTGATTTCGGCGCTCGGGGGCGGAGTGGGTTCGTTCGGATTCGGTTTGAACTGGGGGGGTCTACATGAGCCTTCTGTTGGACCAGAATGGTTGACCTGATACGTGGTTTGTGGTCCAAAGGTTCCTGGTAAACCAATTGGTTTTTCGGGATGAAGCCATCGCTGGGTCGCTGGAAATCCAGCAGGATCCTCCAGGACACCTTTATTGAGAAGAAGGTGATGCGTACCTGGAACATCTGGAACCCATTTGACCAGTGTCTTAGATACCTAGGGATCCACATATTTATTAATGAAGGTCAAGCCATCAAAAAACGTTGGCCTTCCCTAGCAAAGCACCTATATATATTAACCTTTTTCCCCACCTGTCAGGTGAGGGTTGTTAGATTTTACGTCAGCCCCATCTCCTTCTCCTCCTCCGCGTCCTCCTCCTTCTCCTCCGCGTCCTCCTCAGCCGGACCTCAACCACGACCATCCACGCCCACTGTTCCCTGCAGGACCTAACCCACGACCATCCACGCCCAGTGTTCCCTGCCGGACCTCAACCACGACCATCCACGCCCTGCGTTCCCTCCCGGACCTCAACCACGACCATCCACGCCCAGTGTTTCCCTGCCGGACCTCAAC